CCTAAGAAGCAGCTACAACAACCTCTAACGACCGGCACGAGCAGACGTACCTGGATCTGCACAAAAAGATGTGCAGAAGCGTAGTAGGAGTACACCACAACGGTACCCAGATAAAGCCTAACCTCAGTAGAGTAGTGACGAGGCCAGGTCAAGACACCTACTAGCATATAAAATAGACATTACAAAAATGTAATACGAATAAGTAATAGAAAGTGAAGAATAACTGATATGGAACAAGATAATAGCAAGAACTAGTACCGAAAATTAACAATAAAAATAACATAAAAGAAGTAACTAAAGTGCTACAATGATCATGTATGGACTACAACTGCTAGAATAAATGAGAATGAAGCAACAAGAAATATTCCTTCAACAACACTTTGTAACATGAAACAAACAGCAAGAAACACAATGAGGTACCGCCTCGTGTATAATGAAATTAAATCGAGGTACCGCCTTGTATAATAAAGAATCACAATCGAGGTACCGCCTTGTATAATCAAGAATCACAATCGAGGTACTGCCTCGTATTCACATTTCTCAATTTCAATCACAATCTTTCCCGAAATAGCTACACGCACTTTAGCCCACCTTATGACGTCGCGTGGCTTCACGTAGTTACCCTACAAGCAACATGCACATAAGTCCCACCTTATACCGCCACATGCACATCAACCCAAGACTTATACCTCCGCATGCGCGTCAATATCATATCACAATAACAATTCGCACCACAAGTGCCCACAAATCACAACTTGCCAACAACAATATCAATGTTTCCTATAACAATAGCCCATGGATCCAACACAACGAGAATATCAACAACAATAATGGATGAAAAATGCTCAATATGATAGATGTTTCAACAATAACCAACATCGCCTCAACGTATTAACGACTTTCACAACTTCAATACCAAATAACTCAACAATGAGAAAATAATATATAACCACGGTATTAGATAAGTCTAACTCATAATGAAGGAAATAATATTCAACAATGACTCTCAAATAATAGAAATCAACAAGTAAAGGGATATCACGAACAATTAATCCAAATAATGAAGAAGAGATAGCATGTAACAATAAAGGAGCCAATAAATTCACCGAAGGCATTTAAGGATAGTCTAACACAATTAAGGATAATTTGACTATGAGAATTTAGAACATAATATGGCTATTCAATTAAAGCATGGAAATAATTTAAGTAGCCTAAACCGGTCAAATACTATGTACAACCCGTGTACTCACTCGTCACCTTGCGTACATGGATTTCACTTAGCACAATTGGACCAAACAATACAAATCCTAAGGGGTAGTTCCCCCACACGAAGTTAGACAAGACACTTACTTCAACTAAGCCAATTCAACATTCGAAAATAGCTTTTCCCTTATAATCTGCTTCCACACGGCTCAAATCTAACTAAAATTGACTAAATATCATCAAACAATGCTAGGGAATTCAATTGCAATAGATAAAGTTAAGATCTTTATACTTTTCCAAAAAGTCAACAAAAGTCAACCCAGGGCTCACCAGGTCAAAACCTGGGCCCAATGGTAGATTCCGTCTACCCATGACCCTACGAGTTCATATATGGGATTAGTTTCAAAATCCGAGTCCAAAGCGACTCTCAAAACTCAATTTTTTATTTTTCAAAAACTTAGCAAAGTTTCACCAATTTCTACTTTGATTCACATGATTAAAATGTTAAAATATAAGATATGTTGATGGAATATAGATTATAATCACTTACCCAAGGTTTGTATTGATGAGCTTAAAGTTACTTAATATTTATGCCCATTTGCACCTTTGTTTTGGCTGATTCGATAGAGATGTGGTCTGATTTGGGTCTAATATGGTGTCTTTCGGTGCAGGTGATGCAGAGGGGATCAATGGACGAATAGTGCACTTAGTGGGTGGAAAAAGAGATGAGAATGAGGAAATCCTAGGTGCGCGGCCGCGCACGAGCGACCCCCGGCTCGCACTTGAGCGCGCAAGTATTACAGAATTTTGCCAGAGGTGCACGACATGAGCGCGGCCATACTTCCAAGTGCGCAGCCGTGCACGTCCATCTCTGGAAATTAGACTCAGGACTAATTTTGTAATTTTGGAGGCAGCCTTTTGACCTATATGAAGCCTAACTCGTCCCAAAAGAAGATATCTCGGGATTTTGGAGCAACATTGGAGAGAAGAAGGCAAGGAGACAATTGAGACTCTAAATACTTCATCCAATTCATTCCATACGGAAGTTTGTTTGATTTTGTGAATTGTAATATTTTCTTGTTCTCATAATACTCATGTGATGAACGAATTCTCCACTATGGAGTAATCTTTCTTAGGGTTATTGACAAATATTGTGATTTGACTATTATTCTGGGGTTGCTTTGTGTTATTTGCCCGAATTTATTGAATGAGTTATTAATTGAATTGCAAGACTAATTGTGGTTTTACTTTAATCAAAAAAGAAGTGTTGCTACAATTTGAATTGTGTTATCTTGTTTGGGTTGATTTTACGACTCTCACAGGTAATCGAAAGAGCTAATAGAGTTATTAATTGACCCTAGTTAGAAGAATAGTCGAGAGACATTCTTCATAGGATCATTCGTTAAACATATTATTGATATTTTCTCACCACATATCATTGGGTTGTTTAACGCACTCTAATTCATTCGGAAGAAGGATTTGAATCCCTAAGATAGCCTAATCATTTGTTGAAATTGGAAGAGTCAATAGAAGTTAAGAGTGAACATAACACAAACATGCCCACATTAATAGTTGATCACTTATCTTGTCAAAGCCCTTGTTTCACCTTGATATTCAATCATTGCTATTTAGTTACTAAATTCCCGTTATTCATTCACAATTGAGAATCTTTGTTGTTATTCTTAAAGAGTTAATAACTCAAATTCAAAGATTGATTTTCCTGAATAATGTTAAGCTATGAAGATCTCGTTGAGCATTATTTAACCCAATCCTTGTGGAGACGATTTAATACTATACTATCTTTGACTAGCGAGCCTAAGTTTTATACATTGGTTTTGCGCTCGTCAAATTTTGGCGTCGTTGCTGGGGATTGGCGATTAATAGTGTTCAAAATAATTTTCGGTGCTAATATAGGAATTATTTTATTTTATTTTCCTTTTTTACGCTCTTTTTATCTGTGTGAAGGCAACATGCTAAGTTTATTGGTGTATGACTCGATCCTCCTCCAAGGAATTGGTGCCATATAATCTAGAATTAGACAAGCAAATGCGGGAACTGAGAAGGGAGAAAGAATCAAGCGAATCATTGTTGGGTCAGACTTCGACTCAAAATACAATGCTCAACAATGAAAAAGACGTGAACCTAGTTGCGTGAGAAGCTGCTAAACAATAGGCTGCACGGTTAGCAACTGAAGCAGCCCTTAGAGTTGCTAACGAAACAGTCGAAGAGGATCGAAGATTCAATCTCAATCGAACTATGGTCGAAGATGAATTTAAAAATGTAGCTCCCAGGCCCGGGAGGTCTCTAGGAAATTATGCCAGACCGGTGTATAACTAGCGACAATCTAGTGTGAGGCCCCACCCATTGATGCCAACAATTTTGAACTCAATCAGGGAGTCATTCAGACCATCCAGAACAACTGCATATTCAGAGGCAAACCCATTGAAGATCCCAACAACCACCTGATGGACTTCGATGAAATCATGAACACATTCTGATACAATGGAGCATCACATAATGCCATTTACCTCAGAGAATTACCTTTCTCACTTAAGGATGATGCAAATCAATGGTTAAAGAGTCTACCCACAGGGTCAATCCGTACGTGGGAGGAGATGATTACCAAGTTTTTAGAAAAATATTTCTCTGCTACTAAGACTGGACAGATGAGGAAGAAGATTCTCAATTTCATCCAAGGATAAAGGGAGACATTGTTCGAGTCATGGGAAAGATTTAAGGAGCTATTGCGAAGGTTCCCTCACAACGGAATGAAGCAATGGATGCAAGTCCAAGATTTCTCGAATGGGTTAAACCCGTAATCAAGGAGATTGCTGAATAGTGTGGTTGCAGGCCCTCTGATGAAGAAAACTCTAAAAGAGATTATTACTCTCTTGAATGAACTATCTGAAGACGCAGAACAATGGTCCACTGACCAAGGTGATCGAAGAAGATCAGCAGGGGTGCACTAAGTAGAATCTTCTGTAGCAATGCAGGCCCAAATTGCAGCTATGGCTAAGGACATCAAGAAACTAACGATAGCTCAGGTGAAAAATCAATCACATATGGAATGTGACATCTGTGGAATGGACACCCAACTCATGAGTGCCAAACCTCCACTGCAGATGAAGAAGTTAAGACATTGGAAAATTTCAACAGAGGCAACTACCAAGGAGGTAATAATTTCAATTCTATGGGATAGAGACATCCGGTGTTCTCATGGAGTTCTTCAAATGGTAGCTTGAACTCATGGAAACAGCAAAATCCTAGAGCACTCGTGTAAGGACCTCTTGGCTTCCAGAACCAACAAAGGAAACAGTACCAGCCTCCACAGCCCAACAACTCAAGTTTAGAAGATCTAATGAATGCATTCATAAATAAGTCAGATGAGAAGTTTGAGACTCAAGGAACAACTATCCGGGAGCAAGGCACAACCATTCGGAATCTTGAAAGACAAATAGGACAGCTCGTATCATTATTATCATAGAGGGCTCTGGGGGCTCTATCGTCTGACACTGAGAAGAATCCAAAAGAGACGATCAAGGCTGTGTCTCTCAGGAGTGAGAAAACATTAGCAGAACCCATTGCAAAACCACGGGTTGAGAAGGTGATCAACTCAACCAAGACAACAAAATAGCATAAAATTGGCGAATCTTTGGCTAAGGAGGACATCAATAACAATGAGATTAATAAGCAGAAGTCAAGAAACGCAATTGAAGAAATCAAGCACATGTCACTATTACCTTTTCCTTAGAAGATGAAGCGGGAAAATTACATAAATACTTGGGAAATTCTTAGAGATGCTGAAACAGTTGTATGTGAACATCCCATTCACCGAGGTGCTCACCCAGATGCCTGCATATGCCAAATTCCTGAAGAAAATCCTATCAAGTAAAAGGAAGCTTGAGGAAATGAAGGTGGTCAAACTCAATGCACACTACAGTGCCATTCTACAAAACAAAATTCCTCAAAACCGTGAGGATCTTGGCAACTTCACTATACCCTACTCATTGGGGAGAGAAAATTTTGACAAGTCCTTGTGCGACTCAGATGCATCCATTAACTTGATGCCATTATCGATGTTCAAAAAATTGGAAGGAGAACTAGGCGTGATCAAATTTGTGCTGGTATATTTACAACTGGAAGATCAGACTACGATCATACCAGAGGGCATAATCGAGGACATTCTGGTGAGGGTGAACAAATTTGTCTTCCTGGTAGACTTCATTGTAGTAGACATGGAAGTGAATAAGAAGGTACCTCTAATCTTGGAGAGACCATTCCTTTGCACTGGTCGGGCTATTCTTGATATATATGAAGGTCAACGTATGCTACGAGTGGGAAATGAAAAAGTGGTGTTTCAAATGAAGAGAATGATGAAATACCCGTGTGATGAGGCCTCTATCTATGCTTGTTTCAAACTGGATGTCGTGGAGAGTTAGCTAAACAACACAAGTTAGACAAGCTGGTAGGTGATTCATTGGAAAGATGCATTAGCAAATCGAGTACAACAAAGGATGGAGACCATGAAATCATCAAGGAAACTGAAGCACTGGAAGATGAAAACCATGTGGTAGACGAAGAAGAATTTGAGAAAGAAAAGATAAAGACAAAGCTGGAATTGAAAGTACTCCCAACACATTTGAAATATGCTTTTTTGGAGATTAACAATTTTCCTATGATTATTGCTGCTGATTTGACAGGTGAACAGGAACACATGATAGTGAAGTTACTGCGGAAGCATAAAAAGGCAATCAGTTGGAGCATAGCCGATATTCAGGGAATCAGCCCCGCAATATGCATGCACAATATCCTGTTGGAAGAAGGGAGAAACCGGTAGTGTAGCCCCAGCGTAAATTAAATAAAAACTATGCGGAGGTGGTACAAAAAGAGATACTCAAATTGCTAGATGCAGATGGTGTGATTCAGAGTTGCGTACCAGAAGGGGAAACGAGAAATATATTGTCCCATTGTCATGATGGAGAAACTGGAGGACACTATGGATGAAATAGGACAACAACAAAGGTCATGGAGGCTTGTTTTTACTGGCCATCCCTATACAAGGATGCACGATCTTACGTGGCTGCATGTGACAAGTGCCAACAGACATGTAACATTAGTAAGAGGGACGATATGCCCTTGAATTCTATTTTGATATGTGAAATCTTCGATGTTTGGGGTAGCGACTTCATATGTCCCCTCCTATTGTCCCATTCCTATGCATACATATTAGTGGCCATTGACTACGTCTCCAAGTGGGTCGTGGCAACCCCCACTAGGACAAACGATGCTGAGGTAGTATATGAATTTCTTTGAAAGAATATTTTCACCTGCTTTGGAACTCCCCGAGTCATCATCGGTGACAATGGGTCATAATTTATCAATAAAATGTTTTCTACTCTGCCATCTAAATAAGGGGTAACTCATAAACAGGAACCCGATATCATGCTCAAACTAGTGGGCAAGTAGAAATGGCTAACCGTGAACTCAAAAGAATTCTAGAAAAAATGGTTAGTGCTTCCAGAAAGGATTGGTCAGTAAAGTTGGATAAAGCTCTATAGGCATATAGAACGTCGTTCAAAACAACCATAGGGACTTCACCCTTCAAGTTGGTATATGAAAAGTCATGTCACTTACCTGTGGAGACAGAGCATAAGGCTTATTGAGCCATTAAATTGCTTAATCTTGATCTTAGTCTTATAGGTGAGCACAGAATGTCATAGGTGAATGCGCTGGAGGAATTCAGATTGGACACGTATGAAAATGCGCGAATTTTCAAGGAAAAGACGAAGAAATGGCATGACCGTTTGATTAAACTGAAGGAATATCATGAAGGGGAAAATGTCTTACTATACAATAGTAGACTCAGATTGTTCCCAGGAAAATTTAAGTCTAGATGGACGGGATCGTATGCGGTGAAACATGTATCACCATATGGGGTGATTGAGATCCAGAACATGGACGGAACGGAGAGTTTCAAAGTAAATGGGCACAGGCTAAAAGCATATCTTTCTGGAGGATATTTTCAGCAATCCTCTAGCATCATAATCAGTTGAGGATGCCCGGTTGAGTCAAGCTGACGACTATAACTCAGAACTACCTCTAACTCTTCTACTAGCTTAAATTCTCTTTTTTGTTTTTTTTCGTAGCGTAGATTAGGTAAAAATTAGTGTATATTATGATTTGGTGGTTGCGGGAAGGTATATATTACGGAAGGTCAGACTTGAGGTTTTTAAAGGGCACTTTTTGCGTGTATAGGTGCGCGTCGCGCATCTGATGGGTGCACCGCTTATTTGACGCACAAAATATGGAGTCAGCAAACGTTGGGACATGCGCGGCCGTGCACCTGGAGGGATGACCGTGCTCATGGCCTCGCATAGTTACCAGAACGCTACCCTATATGTGCGGCCACGCACGGGAGGACCCGACCGTGCACAGGTAAGTACGCTACACCTTATAATTCCCCCCCCAACCCCCATCTAATCTTTCCCCCTTTTCTCTCCTCTTTCACTAAAACAAACCCTAACCCGCCCCCTCTCTCTCTGCGACCAAACACCCACCCACTCCCTTATTCTCTCCTTTCCCCTTTCCTCAAGAGTACTTCTTCCTAGTGACCTCTCAGGTATGTAACTTTAGTTTTCATTGTTCTTTTGTAGTTTTTTCTTTTATCGTTTCTTTTTCCTTTTAATGTGGGTTGAAGATTGGGTTTCACCATGGGTACTGAGAGTATGGTTGCTAGGTAGTGAAATTTGTGTGTATGTAGGCCACCTAGGGCTAAAATGCTTTGTGGGGAATAAGAGCAGCTTTGCTTGTTAGGTGTTTGTGTAAATGCCACAATAAGGATTGAGTGGTGTATTCTAGAATCTTCTGCTCACCTGATACTAATCCATGTACTTAATTTAGGTGAACTGATAATCAGGGTATATTCTCCTGATTGTGGGATGGGTCCTTCTTATGGATAGGAGAGTGTATTTTTTGTGACCAATATAAGGGTGAAGTCTGAGTAGCCTTTCTTGGTCAGTAGAGTGATCTAATTGCTGATATTTGTCGAGTTGTTTTAGGTGCAATGACTCTTTACAAAAAAAGAAAAACTTCAAGTGCCTCTACCGATAGTCAAGAAAGCACGTCCAGGTTGCAAGCTTCTACATTCACTCGCCCATATGATCATTATAAGTTTGTCTCTTGGGAAGCCCAAGAATGATTTAATAGCAAGGTAGGCAAAAAGGCAATACCAAAAAGGGGAATCGACAATGGGTCTCTCCTAAATGACTGTTACAGAGTTCATGAAGAATTGGTCATGCGAGGAATGGGGGTGTTCTTCGAAGAACCTAACGAGGCAAATTTAATGGTTGTTTGGGAGTTCTATGCGAATTACCCGGAACATGAGGACTACGTATGTGCAATCCGTAAGAAGTAGGTGGACTTTTCCAATGAGGCTATCCAAAGGGCCTATCATCTGCCGGAGTATGTGGAACACCCCGATACAACCAACTACTATTTGGTGCACAGCAAGGAACCATACCCGTGGCTCACAGTCTTTGCGACTATTTGTGTGCCCAGAAAGCAAGTGGTGTGGTTAATCCTGAGCCAAAAATTTCACTCTACTTCACTCACTTTTGAGGGGAAGTGCTGACTATACATCATAAATAACCGCATGATGCCCTCTAGCAACACAACTGAGGTGAATGGTCCCCGGGATGCTCTGATTTAGTGCTTTGTCACTGGCCACGACTTTGATGTGGCTCAGGTCATTCAAGACTAGATGACAATTCGTTGTCCAGTGCAGAGGTATGGTTTCTTTTTCTTGTAATTAGTCACTCGGTTGTGCTGTGAGGCACGGGTACCAGAAAATAAGGCTACGGATGGGAAAGTCAATTGAGAACATAAATTTCTGATTGATAAAGTTATCATTGGGAAGGAACCTAATGTGGCTACTAAGGTGAATGGTGAGGAGTCCTATGCGCCCATCGAGGAAAGGGAGGTGCACAGAGAGGATGATGATGTTACTCCCTCGCATGAACAGGGTGTTTGAGGACCTTCATGCAGCGTATGGAAAACGAGAATGGTTGCCTTGGAACATAAGATGGTGGGTATGTGTACTTCTATCAATGATTTGGGAACTCGAGTGGACTCACTTGCTACACAAAACTCCAAGTCCAAGAAGAAGATCATGGCATGGCTGAGTGTACTTGGCCGGGCTTGTCACATGGACCCAGGCACCGTCTTTGACACGGAGTGACCCAATCAGGAGAGTTTCTTTACCTTTACATTTTAATTTTATGACATGGGGACATGCCACTAGTTAAGTGTGGGGGTGGGGTAGTGTAGTGTAGTGTAAATAGCTTTGTTTAAATTTCTTATTTTTCTTTTTAAGTTGCTTCCTATTGAGAGAGAAAAAAAGAGTCCAAAAAATATGTTCTTAAGTTTTTTAGGATAACTTCTTCACTTGTACTTCCATGGGTTTCTTGTTTGGTTATTTACCATGGTCGTAACATTTTGAACCAGACACCTTTTAGGGTAGATTTTTGTTATTTCTTTATTTTAGATCTTTGGAAAATTACTTGTGATTGGCAAAGTTGACTGTGCCTAACTGGTGGGATGCATGATCCTGCCCCTGTAAGTCAGAGAGACCATTGGTGACTACGGTCTGAGTTGTGTGCCTATCTGAGATGCTATGCGTGGTGAGGCAAATGTTTGCATAGTGATCATGCCTGACAGGGTCTAGAACTTGGCTTGGTTGTGACTCAAGGCGAAATCTTAGGTAATAGTCGAGTTTAAACATGATAGTAGGCTTTCTTTGATAGCTTCTTTTTCTTCAACTGCTTTGAACCCGCTTGAGAACTGATAATTTATCCATTGTTAACCCAGTTGAACCTGATTCCCTCTTTATTTTGAAACCATAATACAACCTGAGCCAGTAGCCATCCCTAAACACTTGAGTACCTTGTGTGTGATGCTAAAAGATAAAGAGACATAAGTGTGGGGGTGGGGGCTGATTTTGAGTAGAACTAATGTTAAGTAGAAAAAGGGTGCACCATCAAGAATGTATGTGAGGTACGAGGGGAGGGGGTTATGGAAAAACAAAAAAGAAAAAGAAAAGAGAAAAATTTGCTCACGGAGTAAGGAAATGAAAGTGAATGTCCCCCTGCTGATGTAAAATCCTTGTATGTTATGCTCAAGGAAATGAGAACTGGTGTGTGCTTTTGAATGGGAAGTTTGTGGACAATTGTCAATGAAAAAGGAGTAGGTCACATATGAAGTTGTAGGCATTAAAGTGCTGAGGGAGGTATAGAAACTCTTATATAGACTATATCCAACCTGTCCTATAGCCTACGTTACAACCAAATACAAAGTCCTACATGATCTAGATGAGGTTGTTCCTACATTAATGGAGAGTTATATGATAGCCAAGCTTATGGTACTCTTGAAGGCATGATTCACTTTTTTGTGAGGGTGAGAGATTGTTGTGTACTGACCTAGGCCGTTAATTGCAAGTGGTGTATGAATGAGCATTGTCTCTTTCTTGTGAGGTGTGTCGAGGATTTGGCGCCAATTTGACCATAGCACTAGTGGAATGTCATGACTGTGGTTGAGGTTGAATGTGACCCCAGGATGGTTTCGAGTTGATCTTGGCCGGCCACTTGTCTAAGGTGGTTGCAGTTTAGGAGCAATTTCATATTAGATTTTCTCGAGACGAGCAAAAGCTAAATGTGGGGGTGTTTAATGAGCTTAAAGTTACTTAATATTTATGACCACTTTGCGTCTTTCTTTTGGTTGATTCGATAGAGATTTAGTCTGATTTGGGTCTAATATGTTGACTTTCAGTGCAGGTGATGCAGA